CATTTCAGATGTTGTATGTGATGTAGGTGTTACGTCCCAATCATTCTTTTGATGTATTAGATTGTTGAGACTTATGTTAGACTTCTATTACTTTTATCGAACTCTTTATAATTCAAAATTTTCTTTTAAAATATTTGAATTATATATCTTGTATGATGTATTTTTTAAGTGTCTTGTGTAAGGCGTCTCAGGGTCCTATACCTTGTGTTACGACTAGGGTTTACTTGGGGTCGTGACAAATTTGGTATTCAGAACACAAAGCTTACAAAGGTCCTTGGAAGTCTTTAAGACAGTTGAGTAGATTCTTGAGTGTGAAGAGAGTCACACTTATAAATAAGAAGCTATAAGATGATTAGGAAGCTCCACTTCTTTCATTAATCTAAAGTCGTGCGATAGAGTGTAACTTTATATGTCCTTCTCATAATCCCTATCCGATGCTTTTCAGGATATGGCCCCTCGATGAGCTTACATTAGGAGAAACGTGAATGCGAATGTGGAACAAGAAGCTCTTAAGTTCGGGTCGACCCTTTGGCTGAGCAAGTGACTAATGTAGAGTTTAGGGCTGCTTTTCAAGTATTTGTGATAAGAATTCCAATTGGGGTGAAACCAATTGAAATCAAATGCAGAATTAAACAGCACAAAAGTAAGAAGATGAGAAATAAGAGATGACAAGGGAAGAAAGAAAGACTAATGGAATAAACAACCGACCAAGGAAGAAGAAAAACTTGAATTCGAAAAAGAAACAACTCAAATTGAAAACCACAAATGAGAAATTTCAAGTGCACTTAAGGCTAAGAAGTCTTAAATCAACAATTGGAATCCACTCATCACTAATCTACACTAAACTAAACTAAAGGGTTTCCACCCTTAAACTATACTCTTGAAAGAGTTTCTTCATTCAACATTTAAAATCATTATAGTAGAAGTCTTACAAAATGACAAGATTACTATTTACACTATTAAAATAAACAAAACATTGTAACATGTCATACTTGAAAAGCCAACTAGAGATTCGTACAAGTCAAACTTTTAATTTTTAAGTCAACTTCAAATGGCCATATCTTTCGGCACATAAAGAGTTAGGTAGACCAAAACATATCAAAAAAAATGTCTTTAAGTTCTCTTTCCAACGCCACTGACTTTGTTGAATTCCAAGCTCGGATGAAGTGCAACCTCACAAGTTAAGGCTTTCCATCCGTTTAAATAAAAGGGTGTTTTGGTCTTTTCCTTACCCCCACTAGGCTTAAAACGGTTTTCTCATCCAAAATAAGGGTCTAATATGATTTATATCATTATTACCACGTTCTTAAACAATTAAGATTGAGAGAAGGGTTTCAAGAGGAGAGAAGGAAGAAGATTTAACACGTTCATTCAAGAACTTGAGAATTTCACCAAGAACAAGTATTATACAAGTTAAGTAAGATCTTATAGTGTTGGGTTTGTTATAACTCATGCAAACCATGTAATTTCATACATAAGTTCATTCTAGAAGTAAAATTGATTGAGTTTCTTGAGAAATATTTGAGTTTCAACCTCATTCTTTAACAATGGAGGTTTTGAGTTCTTGAGGAGAGGGTCTTGCAAATTAGTGTTTTTATTAATGGATTTTGGGTGGGATTTTGTTGATTTTGTGTTGGTTTTATGAATCAAAAGAAGTTTGTAGGAAATCATTCGATTTCAGATAAGTTAGGCCTTGAAATTGAGCTAGAAAATTCATCAAATTTCTCGACAGGGGCATGGGGTGGCGCGCCACCATAACGTCAGGACTATTATCCATTAGTTTAGTGTTGCGGCCCGCCACTCAGTGTGCCCCAAATATTTCCCAATAGTTTTGGGTTCGCATTCCGATGACACTCATTGCGCCCCAAACATTGTTCATTAGTTTTGGGGCTGGCACCCCACACCATTTAGTGAGTCAGGGTCGCCAGGACCCTTACTTCCGTCCTTCTTTTTGTGTTTGTTCGCTTACATCATACCAGAGTTCTATTCTTGATATTCACTCTTAAATCTTCATTTATCCTTGATACATCATACATATAGCAATCACATCTGTTAATTTACCTTTCAAATTAAAGTAAAGTTAAGAGAAAAGTTCAAGAGGTCTTTTCGAGTCAAATATGAGAGCTTTTTTGTAATCAACTATAGTTTTGAACTAAGTCTTAATTAAATGAGTACAAGGATAAAGAGAGTTGAGTTTCATGTTCCATAAGTATAAAGGGGCCAAGTATTGCCATTTATGCAATACTTTTACATTTAAAAGAGAGAAACAGTGATTCCTAAACTAGTTTACAAGTTCAAAGGAGATTCAGAGTATTACCTCTTTTAAGAGGATCTTTTGAGTAATAAACTCAATTTGAGAAAGAGTTATGTTTTAAACATTTAAGCATGAGCTATATGTATTATTCTAAAAAGTATTGATCACCGATATGGGGATTAGTTCAGACAACTCAAAATTCTCATAAGTCATGTATGCCAACATGGGTAAAGGATCATTGTTTTTAGATGATTCCTTATTGCTTTTAAGGATAGCTTAGTGGATCCAATTAGTTGAAATGTTCTACACCCCCGCAATGTATAGGACAGTTCTGGCAGCATGGGTTAAATGTTATAAAGTCATGTATCTCATAGTGATGGTTGTCGGTTAGAGAATCTTTCAAATATGTGGAGCTTACTATTGTATTCTTATACATACTGAGTTGATATCTATTGTTTTAAAAAGTTTTATATATTGTATCTCTTATTATTGCTCACATATTGAGTTGAGTTGAGGTGGTATTCCTTCCAACCTTGTCAGTTCAGTTATCGATTGCTTTCAGTTTTCTCCTTACATGCTCGTACATTCAATATATTGATATCATTCGACTTGCATCTTTTTATGATGTAGATATAGGCGTTTTGGGTCATCGACAGATGCTCCGTTGATACCATTGCATTTCAATCAGCTTTGGTGAGCCTCCATGCTTTCCGGAAGGTTCCACATTTACCACTCAAAAATTCAGAAGACCAATTTTTATGTTATAGATTTTATTAGAAAGATCTTAACGCTATAAAATTCCTAAGATTTCCTGCAAGAACTAGGCAAATCCAAAAATGAAACATTGCAATAAAAATCTGTGATTACTCAAAAACGTTATTTTTCATGCATTGCATACAAAACATGTCTACAACCGAAACACAAGCATGTCTCTGATACCAATGCAATATTGAATCACAACTACTAGTATAGGAGACCTATGAGTTTCTCTATAGCTAAATTGAATCTGCCTCAATCACGATAAGTCACCAATCGTCAAAATCTTCACGAAATGAAATGATTACTCTTTTTCCACGACCTAAGTATCCTAAATGATGCTGACTATATTCTCTCTTGTATAGCTAACCCTAGCCTTCATATATATAGTTGGAAACAACAGTCCTTTTTCCAAACAATCAAAATGATGTATTTATACATTAAAGACTAGGATTTATTAGGAGAACAACTGTTGAACTAATGAATTAATTAGCATCCTTTATCATACCTGACCCAATTGCTACTTCCAGCAATCTTTTGTTTCAGTTTCCTTTTCATATTTTAGAATATGCCCCTTCAATTTGTTCGGTAATAAGATTGACTGAGATAATTTAGTCAAACTCTAATTTGGGTTGGGGCAATGTTCCTCCTCGATCTACAACTATGACATAAGGTTAAAGAGAACACTACTGAACATACGCAAATACGGTCATTTAGTTATTTTCGCCTCCAGAATGTGAAACTATATATATCACATTTAAGTTATGTTTTGATTAGTGAAGTGTTGATATACTTATATAACAAGTTTATAAGTGACATTGGAGCTATTATATAGTCCTCCAACATTAACTAATCTTAAATCTAAATCAAATAAACAAATCAAAATCTAGTGTTTAAAGAGAAGAAATCAACACACATAGCATATATAGAATGATATCAATAGTAATAGCAACGTTACAAATTGGGCTATCAAACTTTAATTAATAACCCTACAATTAACACGGATTTCGCCATTTGTTCCAGTTGGTGGTGGTAAGCTTCCCATTTTGAGCATAGAGTTTTTGAAATCCTCAAGAAACAAAGATGGATCGTCTACATAATTCTGCACAATTTCTCTAGTGTTATCGTCATCTCCAGTTGCTAGGACTTGGTCAGAAACAAGCAAACCTTTTCCTGATAGAAGATTAACATAGTAGTGATTATCGAACGTTGATGGAGTCATATCATCAAGATTTGCTAGTGTAGTGTTATTGTTAGCTGAGCACAGTTGTTGCAGTGACTGCAAGAAATCCAAGTTCATTTCTGAATTTCTAACACCCGCGTTGTTGTTGTTGTTTAGCCTGGAGCTGAATGTAGCACATCTAGCCTTTCCAATTGTATGTGCACCTGATAGAGTGACCACGTCTTGAAGAGACAGACCAAGATTTTGAAAGTTGGTAACAAGGGTTGCTACATTTGAGTTTGGTCCTGGGATGTTGTTATTTGCTGCTGTTTTGCTTGCTGTTAAGCTATCCTTTCTCCCCATTTGCACTTGCCATCCCAAGCCTCCTGACTGCAATGAATGCATAAATCGAAAATTCCAAACATTATTTTAAGGGGAAAAGCTCAAATATGTCATCGAACTTTGAGAAAAGATTCATTTATCTCATCTGTCAAAATTTTGGTTTATCTGTCATTTCCGTTTGAGAAAATGTCATTATTTGTTAACTGAAAAAAGTTCCGATTTTACTCTTAATCAATTATGATTTGATCATGTCTTAAATTAAATTATTTTTTAAGAAAGTCATTTAATTAATTAATAAAGGCATGGATGAATCTTTTCTCAAACAGAAATGTGAGCCGAACTTTTAACTTGAGATTTTTCTCAAAGTTCGATGGCATATTTGAGTCTTTTCTCTTATTTTAATTCAACATCATTTTAAAGCAAGAGGATATACTAGGACAACAGAATCTCTAGCAGCAATAGCAAGAATATCAGCACAAGATACAGTCTGGGGACAAGCATATTCTAGGTCAGCCTTGATGTTATCAATCACTTCAAAACCCCTTAATGAGTTCAAGTTTGGTCCAGCTGTTTTCTCTCCGCTGAAATTAGAGGTATCGTCCAGGAGTACTGATGCGTCACATCCCTGAAATATATTCAACATAAATATTAAACATGGAAAATATTTATTTACACACAAAAGAAAAGACGGAAGAAATAATATGTGACTTGCATTAACGAAACAGTCATGGAAATGAAGACGAAGCAAAGAAGCAGCCATTCTGGGGTCCTGGGACACTGCACTTTCCACCCATGAAAAGATTATAGCTTCAGCTTCTGGGCAGCTGTTTAGGTACAAACCAAAACTTAACGCGATAGTTACACCATCAATGCATGTTTTCTCCAACTTATTTGAAACAACATTTCCACTTGCAAATGTTACTGAAAACTTGATCAGTAGCATAATGCACAAAGAAGCTAAGTAGAAGGAAGCCATTAAATTTCTACAGTAACACAATGAGAAAGTTGTGTTTTTTGATGTTAATACTGAAAGTTGAGGCCTTAAATAGAGGAATTGCTACTGCAAACAGAAAAAGGGAAGAGCAGTTGAGAAGAAGACATAGTCCAAGGCTAATGAGTCAAATTGGAAAACGAACATTACATGAGAGGTCCCATGGTGTATAACAATCCACCTAATACCAACTGCTTTCAGATCTTGCAACATGTGATTACTGCACAAAATGATTTGCTATTCATTACTTCTTGTTTATGTAACTTATCGGAATTACAACTTTGGAGCTAATATTACAAAAATGAACACCAACGAAGGAGAGATCCAACAGTTAAATCATTGATGTACTATGAATCGAAACCTACGTGTTATGTAGGGAAGTCCTTTGAAGCAATATGTAATTTGAAACAAAAACTCATCTAACAGAGCATCTGTTCATAACTATAACTAGTTGATAATACATGCACATTCTCAAGGACAAGACACATGGTCAATTAAGACAATAGTATCATTTCAGGCTTAAAGAGCTTCCAAATTGACAAAATTGGGATAGTACATCTCATACTCATAGATCCTCCATTGTTCTGGCAAACACAAATTGTTTTGTTCCCATAGTGGTGAACGGCATCAGACCAAAAGTTCTGGCAGTTTTGAATCCCATGGCAATCATTCTGTGAGCCTTCACACTAATTCCATTCTATACATAACCAAAAAGAAAGAATAAGATACAAATTTCATGTATTCTGTTACCAATATTAGTCGATAGATTTGATTACAAACCTTGCCACTCCTGAGGAGAATTCCAGCTTCTGTGATGAAGCTAGCTAGGAACCTCACGTTCTGTATTACAAATATGTTTAAATGTATAAATCAGATAACTCCGTTAGGCCAAACTTACAAGGCAATAAGAATCAATCCAGTACTTGGGGATGTGATATTCAGTACCAATAAACTGACCAGCAAGAGAAACTTCTTTGAAAATTTGACCAGCAGAGAAGCTTGACGCTAGTATAATACATAAGCAATACATGTGCTGGAAGGTGTCTCCATAACTTTTGAAAACATACATGGTCAAAGTGATGCAGAACCAAGACTACCAATCCTGAAACCAGCTTTGTGCAGAATTTCCTCTTTTGTAATTTCAATTATCCCTTTGAAAGGGCTTGCGAACTCCTGGTTTTGTAAGATCAAGATCCCGCAGATAAAAAATGAAAAGATTAGAAGCGGACATGGAAGAACCATAGAGAATAGGTTGAGTTACGGCAACAAATTAATGCCATCCATAATTTTGCTCTTGCCACAGAGAACGAAGATTGAAACAAGGTGTACTAGGAAATACGCACTTCGACCATACAATTTTAGCACAGCCTATACATTTGAAAGTTTGACGGAAGCTGTTGAAACGCCAATGGGTGCAAGATATACAAAAACCACAATGAGACGTATCCTCATACGGAAAAATGACACTCGTGATGCTAAAAGCATGTCTGAAATGCTACCTCATTTCTCATACCTTGATTTCACAAGTGTTCCTTGGCCAAAAGGTCATATCTGCTCTGCAAGCATAATGATCTTTCTCTACTTCATCAAGATCAAACTCAAAATATCTGGCTTCTTCCTTCAACTTACCATCCATCCCATCTGATAACGTATCAAAACTCTCATCCAGACCATCCACTTAACTAGATCTTTGCCAGAACTGAACGTGGATCCCAACCCAGATGTATCATAAGCCTTTTCTACCCTATCAAGCTTTAAGAAAAAGGAGTTTGAACTTGGCCTGTTCCCATACTATCACCAAAAAGCAGTCTCAAAGTCTTCAGTAGACTCAAATGAGTTGGTGCTTTGCTTATTATCAGGGGCTGTGTAGTGGCAAGAGAAGTTGAGTCCATTATCATGTGGATAAAAGAAAGAAGTTGACATACATAAAAAAGTTTATGAAGATCACTGGCGAAGAAGCACATAACTCAACAATAAAAAAAGTATCAAACAAAAGATAGAGCGTACGAAAGATAACATTCGTAATGTCAGTTTGGATTATCCAATATGAAAGGCATACAATTTACAACGGAACAGTGTGGCCAGTCTATCTCGTTTGTCGATTTCTTGTTATCTTGTTACTTCAGCATTTAAAGTTCGTATCATTAGCTTCTGGGATACTCCTCAAGATAACAACTTAATATTGAATTGGGACGTATGTATATAAAACCTAGTTATCTGCACTCCTCAAATTATCAGTGATTGGACAAAAGGAAGTCACGTCGGAGAAGCATCAACCATCACATTATATGCAATCAGAAAAAATAAATTGTCCTATAACTCTGTAGACTACAAGCACATACAATTATATAAAGTAAGAACTTATATATAGAAGTTAACAAAAGAAGTTCTACTAGTAAAAGCATTACTCAAGTATATAATTATAATTGTACTTGACGAGCTTTCACCCTTTGAAATATTTTTTATAACAGACTCACCTGGTTAACTTTGAGATGTGGAAGCTGTTTTTAGTACTTTGAAAATATCTCTCTATTTTTTCCACTGAAACTTCAGTTTGAATTGTAAAATATTGTAATTAGAAGAATAATCACACAACACAATATCATAAACCGAAAAAAAACGGTAGGTGATAAACTAAACCCATTTCTAATATGATCTAGTATTCTAGACACAAGAAAATGGGGCTAAAGTAATTATTGGACCTATCGAACTTCATTCATTTATTCATGTTAATGCTCGGCCTAAAATGCAGATATTTAGTTATTATTTGTGTTTAACACTTACGCATCTCTAATCAACGTTTGAGTATTAACTATAGTCTATTGTGTTTAGTATTGTATTTTTACTTTGTCGGAACATTAGAGATGGAATTTACAGCAAAATTGGGTGAAAATGTTAAAATTACAAAAGTATCAAAGAAGACTCATGATGAAAGCAAAATAAGACAACACAAAATGGCTTAATGATTGAACAAAAGAAAATATTGCAAAGGTAACAAGTGCAAATTGAAATGAATTGAAGCAAGCAGCTTTAAAAAGTGCACTATGAGTTGTCTACGTGGAATCACAATTATTGCTCCCAGTTTGAAACCTTCATCCGGGCACCAACAATGTGAGACGGCACCCGCCTAGAAGTGGTTCTGAACGACAAATTACCAAGCAAGCGCACCACCAGCAGACGCTCACCCACGATGCCCAAAAACTTTCCTAATCCTATTCCTATTTTGATGAATATTTGGATTTGGTTTTTAAATGCCATATTCATTTGTACTCTATAAATATATCCTAAATAGTACATTCTAAACACAGTTTTTAAACAACTTTTGACCTTGGGAGAGCTAAGAGTCGCCATGGAGGCCAGAATTTATTGGGTTTCAATTATGCGTCTTTCACTATGGTGGACCGCTATCATTAGCACCTTTTGGGCAATAGCTACAATTGGGATCCATTTCGAGATCAATTTGACAATGGAACTCTTTGCGCAATGATCTTATCTATGTCATTTCTCTTGACGTGATACAAAAGACAACCATCAAAAACCACAGTCTCTTGATCTCTTCTCTAAAAAAAAAGAACATTGTGCGGGCAAGCTGGACAAAATCAAATCTAGGAGGAAATGTTTATATACGGTTGTTGTAGTGCGACTTTTCATTTCCGGATTGACCTTTCAATAAGTTTTCTTCTCCCTACTATTAGTCATTGTGTAATTTATTGCTTTTCTCCATGTCTAAATAGAAATAACTTCTCACTCTTGGATAATGGTCCTTTGAAGATGGTTATTATTTGCATATTGATTTCAAGTAATTAGTTTATCATATTAATTTATTTATTTAATCATGAGCTTAGTTATTCGATTGTTTGACCGACTATTTAATGAATTGAACTTGAAAGTGGGAGTTCAAGATTGCAATAAGATTAAATAGGACAAGTTCTTAATACTTAAGTCGTTTTGCTTGGTCAATTTACCAAAGTTGAAAAAGCATTCGTGTTAAGGCTCACGACCATGACACATAGGTGTGGAAGTAATTCGAACAGGCAATCAAAGAATCGAAAGATTTTTATTTGTAATATTAATTGTGTTAATCAGTAAATAGATAAATTAAGCGGAAAATTAAGACACTGGATCAACTGAAAACTAGAACGTAACTGTTAGATAGCTCATAAGCCTAGATCAAAATTTAATCTCATTGATAACATAAAAAAAATGTTTTTCCCTGTTAGAGTTCATTTATGTTTTCCTTATTTCAAGTTAGTTTATAATTATAACTTTGACTATTATTGCATGTTTACATAATTACAATTAATTTAGTTCATCAAACGGCCTACTTGCGTGTTCATACCAGAAGAAAATACTATTGAAATCCTTATTTTGTGTACGGATGCATCAATGATTCCTCTTTATATATTTTTAGGTTCATCCAGCATATTGAACACAGCATCAACTAGCTCCCAAAAAGCACAAAACTTACGTGTAAAATGGAAGAGTTTCAACACCAACAATTGAAAATCAACAATTTGAAAAGCTTTCTAAGTAAATCACAAGCGCATAAAAGCTACATTATGTGTAGAGTATAACCATTTAAATTCTGGTTTCAGGGTAAAAGTTTGAAGAAATTTAAGAAGAGAATAAACTATAATTTTCCGTAGACGGAGAAGAAGGGGCAAAGGATGGTACCTCGGCAGCGGCGGACCGGATGTGGTAGAAAAGGTAGGTAGTCTCCGGGAAGAATGAATTTCTAACAGTTGGACCAAATGCTGATTAAGTGTCCACACTATATTCTATAGCCCAATTAGGTTTTTCAGCTGGGCTATAACCCAAATAGGTTGTCAAAAGGCATTATTGGGAATTTTATGGTCCAAAACCTTTATTCTTTCGAAAGATTATCTAAACACTACTTATTTTAACATATTCTTTTATCATTTCAAAAAATTATAAAAATTTATATTCTGTCTCATATACATTACTTTGTGCAATGTGTTGGTAGTACATACATCACTTCGAGACATAGAAGATATATTTGAGACATTGAGTAATGTATATACGAAATTGAGACGCGATATGACGGAACATAGAGAGATATATACGAATTTGGGATGCGGTGTATCAGAATGTATTGAGATGTATCTAAATCTAAGAGATTATTGTAATCTAGAAAAGAGTAGAGATAGAATGTAATAAGCTCTTAGAACCTGTTTGGCCATAAATTTTCCAACTGAAATTTGGGAAAATTTTGACAAATAGTTTTGGCCGGTCCATATAATTTGTTATTATTTGATAAAAAAAATTGGCAAGTAACTCAAATTCCTAGATACTAGAAAAAATTAGTATTTGGACGAAATATCATTATTTGAAAACTTTTAAAAATTGAAATTCTATACCAAATTTTTTATCTTTTACAAAAACACCTTATATAGCAGTTGTTTGCGTTGTATCACAATTTTTTTTACGTGAACACCAAACGAGTAATGGAATATTTAGTGAATATGAAAGTGATGATATGGTTGTTGCCTCTTAGCGTAACAAAGTCATCTGTTTTGTTTACTTCACAATGTATGGAATGATACATGTTGCACTTCAAACTATTACATTGCTCCAGTGTCATGGATACTACTTGTTATCTGTTGCAACGAAGATCGAACTGACTTTTTGTGAAAGTCACGAATCTTGTTACGTCGACGTTTATATCTTGTTGTGTAATCCAACTTAGGAGTTTTGATAGCTTTTAAAACTTATGGGTATAAATTATTTCTTTAAAAATTAAAATATTGTTTCTCATATACTATAGTCAAACACATGGTGGAATTCACCCAAATAATATTTGTCAAAAATATTTGAGAATCTATGGCAAAACGCTAGCTTAACACTATGTGATTTGCGTAAAACTCTCTTATCATTTAGAAAATCTATCTAATTACAGATATTCCTACAATAAATACTAATTCACTTTATACTTTGAAATAATTACATATTTGTCTCACTAACTAATAGTTTTATACCAAATTCCGAATCATATACATCAGTACTCCTTCAAATTTCAAGTCAAATATCTGTATTAAAGATATATACTAGACATATGTATCTCTGATTCTAAGCACATTCTAATACATATACATATACATAGAGAGGCGAACAAGAGAGTTAGTGTGTCTCATATACATTATAGAATACAAATACATACTGAGAGAGGCAAGCAAAATATAAAAGATATGCGCATTACATTTGAATACAATGTATTTGAAATAAATTACAAACAATTTGACTTGCATATATTCTGGATACATGTGTGAGCATGCCATCTATTTGGCAAAGTAAATATGTTACGAGAACTAATTTTAAAAATTAAGATAAAGACACATAATTAAACTCTAAACTACTGAGATATATGTTATATGCTCTTATTCTTTACCTTTTAAGCCTAACATATATATTGGTTAAGCTGAAGAAGTTATGGAAATTATTTGTTAATTTTGTGTTAACACTTCCTACTCAAGTGATTAGAATTTATAGGTGCATTCCCCATGAAATCGTCACTTTAGGATCTTTTTTAATTTATTTCCTGTAAGTCATTTTAAAGGGATCTACTTTATGACTAATTTGTATATTTTACATGAAAACTGTTCAATAAACTTTTCTTTTTCCACGCACCAATTTAGAAATAAACATTGGACCAAATTAATAATGAAATATAGGTACAGGAAATTGCCACTAACGTGATATAAGAATAATAAAAAAAAATGGACAAAATACATTAATATACAGCTACAATGAATATTTCAATGTAGTGTACTGGCAGAGAATATTTAAAAACTTATGTCCCTTTACAGTGAAATCCAATTATTTTTGTTGAATTCTGATTCCTTATGTTGATTAAATTCTTAAGTAAGCCTTTCCATCACATTCTTCATGTTTTTTTTTGGTTTGGTTGTAAGATCACTATCTAATGGTTTCCTTAATAAGAAAAAGAAATTCAAGTAACTACTTAATTTTGACTAAATTAAACCTACTGAAAATGTTTACAAATTGTGTGACTTTAATTATTGATCCATGTCAAATATTACTTCATAGAAATAGTGATGTTTCATATTTCTCTTTTCTTTCTTTTGGATTTACTCATCAAAAAGTTTAAATCAAATGAAACATGCAACTATATTGATCAAGATGATAGAAGTCAAATTTAATTTTAATAATAATTAATTATAAGCACAATGTGCAGCTTATTTAATGTTTGTATGATTTGCTAGTAAAAGTATTCGCCATTAATCTTTAAAACATCTTGATCCTCGAAACTCATTTGAAATCTATAATTAAATAACACGAATCAATAGTGAAAATTTATCATAAAATATGTCTTGGAGCCAATGTAATTGTCGGATTTCCAGAAGAAAGGAGAATCCCTTTAGGAAAAAAATTCAACATTTTACCTTATAAAAAATACCTGAATCATGACCTAAAGTCTCAAAGCTGTAACCAACCGCCTTAGTAGACCTAATTCAACGTTTCAGACTCAATGAAATTGACAGAATCAACATCTGAGACTCGAATCCCAAAAAGTTTGACGAGACTCGAATGTTTGGCAACGTTAAATTATTTGCATAGTCAGTCACTTATTTGAACTCAGACAAAAGTGAACATAGTATTATATGGCATCAATTATGGGAAAGGTTTTTCTCTAAAAGGTTCTTTTTACGTTCTTTCCAATATGAGAAACATTTCTGATTATTTGCTTTTTAGACTATAAAAAATGACATGCAACTAAGTATAGCAGCATTAATTAGTATTTTTTGTTGTTTAATTATTGTCATGTGATTTGGACTTCATAAATTATGTGATGTTTCCTCTTCTAATTAAAAGCCCGCCCCGATCTTGACATAACACATGATATGACAGAAATAATAACATGCACATAATTTTGCATTTGCTTTAAATTTTTAAATTAATAAATAATCTTTTTGAAGTATTAAGCTCTATATATATATATTGTTTTTCTGCCGGAATTCATATTTGAGCCTCGACTAAGTTTGAACCACGCACAACAGGGCTTATTTGGAGGTGACACTCCCAATATAATTTTTCTATATTCCAAACTTTAACTCGAAATCTTTGATTTAGGTTGAAATAGTCTTACTACTGCACCATTAACCATGTTGGTTGAACTCTCTATATATATAATATGGAAGGATGGGGAATATAATAAATAGGAAGGTATAGAAGGTGTGGAGTTTGGTGAGTAGGCATATATCAAAGTTGGAATCAGAATAGTGTAGGCAAGAAATGATGCTTGGCTAGAAGTGGCATATGGTATTGAATTGAAGTGGACATTTCAAGCAAAAAGAGTGTCAGAGATGGGTTTAGTAAGTACATTTACTTGAACTATATGCATTTAAAACCTTTAACAAAATCTGAAGCCATGCTCCTACTTAGTACTCATCATCATATACATATATACACCCTTCCCCTTTCCCCTCCTCCTACTCATGAAAGCTCATTGAGACTTACCTTAAAATGGAACATTGAGCCATCAAACACACACATCACCCTCTATACACCTACATAATCAACTCATCATCATCAATGGAATTCATACTCTCACATATATAGCTACTCTACCCATATCAAGAGTTTATCAACAAAACTAGCTCGCTATGCACGTGCCATCAAAAGGTGGGGTTTGGCCATCCTTAACCAAAAGCTTCATGTTCATGTTTGATTTACTCTTGAAATGAAGAAACCTAATGGGCTTTAATTTATGTAAGTAGTTGTGAATTTGGATTAGTCGAGTCATTAGATGACCATTAATTTTTTTTTTTAAAAAAAGTAATAGCTCAAAAGTTAGTAGAGTGGTAATCTTAAAATTATACCTAGTATATAGTTAAGGTCATATCTTTGTGGCTAGGCTACCTTAGTGGAGAGTTAGATAAGGGAGCAACTAGCTAGCTAGTATGATAATTTGATTGGCCTAACTCTTAGACATATAATTAATAAGAAATGAATACACAATTTGTGGCTTAAAATTGTCTCATGGTTTTCCCAGGGTGAGGTAAAAGTTAAAGAAGATACTAAGAGATGAATTTCATCCAGGAAGAGAAGAGGGGATATTCCAAATAAAGCAAAGCTAAGAACAATTTATGGTTATGGCTTCCCTTACCCTGCATTTATCTACATTTTGATCGAATTAATCAACAAGGATGAATGAGAAAACCCTAAACGCCTGAATACATATTCCGCTGATGTCAATAACAAATGCACATGCATGCAATTTGAGTACAGAAATTATATCCCATCACTAAAAAAAGAAACGAAATAAGTGAATATACAAATTAAAGATGAAGAACAAAGCAGAATCTTCAAAACTACGAAATATTAGTAATTAACAAGTACTGAAAGCATCCTGCTATTATATATTATACATGCAAAAGCTAGTTAGCTAGCTAATTACCCCATTAAACCAAAATTGAAGTTAATAGTGACAAGCTAATTATAGTCATTGTACAACATTAACTAATTAGGGGAAATAAAAAGTTTGTAATACTTGTTTGTGCAGGATTCTATTGTTATCTAAATTAAGATTCATTATCAGTTAAATAAACTAAACATACCAATTGATAATGATCTCATGCATTCTGTCCTACTGATTTGGTTTTGGCATCATTTGGGATATCACCATATCCTGCAGAAGTCCATCATCTCTACCAAAAGACGATGAAGTTGATGGCAATAACATTCCTCCTTGGGCTGAATTAGTAGTAAAACTGTTTATAGGTGGTAATGCTGGTGCCTGAAAGTAGGTCGATGGTTGTTGTTGTTGAGCTTGATAATTGAATTCTGGTAAAAACAAAGACGAACTACTAGCAACACCACCAAGACCAACACCAACACCAACACCAATGGAGCCACCACCACTATAGTCAATGGTGTCTCGATAAAAGCCAATGCTGCTACGTGGCGTAATGGGGCATGGATGTGTGTGAACACCTTCATAAGTTGTAATAACAGTTGATGGATCTGCAGAAGACCTCTCCACTCTCTTCTTCACACCACACGTTGCAATAGTGCAACGAAAGTAACTCCTTCATTATTCAACAACAAAACCAAATTGTTTGACTAGTATTATAAAAATATAAAATTAAAAAGTTAAAAAACAAAAAAAAACATTCCGTTATAATATAAAAAAAGCGGTGGATGAGAATAAATTAGTAATAAAGATTAATAGTAGGTAGATAATTAAAATTAAGAAAGAATTTGCGTGTTTGTGTGAATATACATTCATTCATACCTGGGAAATGGACTGTTTTTCACAGCTTTTTGTCCATACTTTCTCCATCTAAAACCATCATCCAAATGATCAATTTCAGTTTTAGTCATGAAAGCAAATCTGGGAGCTCTTTCCTTTCTTGCCTTCTTCTTTTTCGGAATTAACCTAATTAATTGAACAGTATATATCCTTGTTAATTTTATTTGCAAAATTAAACCATAACCAAAAATCATCCTGGATTTTGATACATAAGAAGAAAAAAAAACTTTTAATTTTAAAATATATATATATATATATATATATATAATAAAAGAAAAAAACTGCTTTTTCTGTAAAGACGGTGCAAAATTATTAAAACGCTCACTGTATGTTATCCTCGATCTTGTCCTCATCATTCTCAAGTTGTTCCTCTACCATTTCAATCATCTGTAGAAAATCATCATTAGCTGCAACATCAGTTGACGATGAAGATAATTCAGAGGAATTAGCAGAAGTATTAGCAATCGGAGAAGGATTCAACAAAGGTACATCGGCTGGTGGTGGTGGTGGTGGTGGTGGAGGTGGAGGAGGTGGAGGAGGAAATGGTGGAGGCTGAAGCAAATCGAATAAAGAAGAAGAATCAGTAATTGGATCATCAGGAGAAGTAAACATGGATTCAATCAACCTCATTGGAGAAGAAGAAACATTTTCGGTTTCATATAAAGGAAAATCAAAGAAAAAACTACTGCTCTCATCAGGAAAAAAAGCACTCATCGTTGTTTCTATTGATTTAAGCTTCTTCTTTTCGTTAGGCGACTAACAAAAGGACTCGATCAGAAGAAGAGATTCTTCTTCATTTTTGCACAAAACTGGAGCTACTTGTGTTGTTACACTAGAACAAAAGGTAGTGAGAGAAAGTTTATAGACTTTTTTGTATAGGCTTTTGTGCTTTGGGTTTCAAGTGTGAAGACACCTATTTTGTTTTTTTTATTTATTTTGGGAGGAAATTTTTGGTCCCATATATGGGGGTGGAATTGGGATTTTACTATATTTTACACCTAGGATAGGAGATCGAGGCTGACCGGTTAGTGCCGGTGGAGTGTGACCATTTGTTCAAATGGAAAATAATTGCTCACTTTGACCATACTAAGTCTAACTCTATTTAATACTAATGGATTATTATTTGCCATTTTAAAATATGTATAAATATTGCATTTAAGCATTTTACCCTCTTTATTTTTGGGGTAGGGTAATGTCTTTGTTAGTTTACCCTTTTTAAACTATGGTCATTCTATGTGTTTTTACCATAATTATTCATTATTGACTTGACTCGCTCGTTTAGAAATAATAAATAATGAGGTAATAATGCTTTATTATCTCTTGTCTTTATCAAATCTAATGATTTGAAAAATGTTTTAGATGAAAACTGTAACTAAATTTAACTTTAATTAATACTATGTCTATCCCTATTTATTTGTCCATATTTCCTCTTTTATTTGTCCCTATTTATATGTCCATTTCGATAAATTAAAAAGGACAATTTTTCGTTTCCTATTATACCCTCATTTAAACTTCTTGAAAATCTCCAAGTTTTAATTCATCATTTTTAAATCATAATTAATAAGGGTAAAATTATAATTTCACTGTGTTAAATATGGATATATTAATATGTGTGTCATTTCTAAAGTGGACAACTAAATAGGGACAGATGAAGTACTAATTAATTATTATTTTCCATTACAAAATATGTATAAATATTGCATTTAAGCATTTTACCCTCTTTATTTCTGGGGTAGGATAATGTCTGCGTACGTTTTACCCCTTTTCAGATTTCACATTATGAAATTATATTATATAATTGTTGTTATTACTCCATTCGTTTAATAACAGTTGCCAATTATTGATTTGACATGCCATTTAAGAAATAATAAATAATAGGGGTAATAATATTTTATTATCTTTTGTCTTTATTAAATTTAATAGAATGTGTTAGATGATAAGCAATATTTAAAAGTAAGAGTAAAATAGATACAAAAGGTAAATTATCTCTAGATTTTCTAGGCGGAATGACCCGAAAGACCCTTGTACTTGACTCCATTTGTAAGTTGGACCCTTGTACTTGTGACTTTATCAACTGAACCCTTAAATTCATTCCTCCTTTTTATTTTTTTCATTTCTTTTCATTAAAGAATTTATTAATTAATTAAAAAATTCATTCATAGTTATTATTCTAATTATACCTAATAAGTTACAACAAAACCCCCATCTATTTACATTTCCTACTTAAATAATATGTCTCTTCAACTTATTTTTAAATATTCTTATGGTTTACACAAACTATAAATAACAACTATCTATGTTCAATGATCATTCTCATTTTCTCATTCTTCCTTTTTATTAGTATAGTTTTTTCCTCTTTTACATTTTTTTTCTTCATCTTTTTTCATGAATCATGTACTTAATAAGTTCATCATATGATCTTCATATTGATAAAGATCATAGATATATTCTTCAAGATTCATCAAATTGATGTTTGCATTAGTTTGGTACAAGTTTATGAAAATGAAGAAGGAATCATAATTATTTCAAAATTTCATCAGATGGTCATATTAGTAAAAAAGTTTGAATGATTTCCAAGTATTTTGAAGATTAATTCATTCATGTATTGTTTTGATTATATTTTTTTATTAGATATATAATTTCATATTATTCAACAAAAATTAAATTATGAAACTCTACTAATCAACACATTAGAAAGCTCAATTAACATTACTTTCTTCATTTTACTTTGCTTTTCTAATTATTATTATTATTATTATTGTGATTATTATTATTATTATTATTATTATTATTATTATTATTATGAATGAAGATGAAAAGTTATATAGTTTTATTTTTATGTAATTTTTTCGTCAAGTTCTAATTAATATTTCAATTTTTGTCACAGTTGAAAAATATAATATTGCACATGATACATTTCTTATAGCTATTGCATATTGATGTCCCTAAAAATATTTATGATGTAGTTTATCATATTAAAAAATAGTCATAGACTAAACAAAAAATAAATTAATAATCTTTTAGTACTTTTAAAAAATTTAATGAATAAATAAATTAGTTAATGAAAAGAATGAAGAAAAAATTCCCCTTAGTCACATTAATTATATTAAAACTAAAAAATGTAATTTATTTAACTTCTCTTTATTATTGAAAATGAGATACATAAAAAAAGTGATGTGACATTTATCTTCTCTTTATTGACCTTTTTTCTTATTTAAATTGATTAATTTTAAGTAAAAGTAATTTACTAAATTAATTAAAAATAATTTTTATTAATAGAGAAACATTTACAACAAAAACTTTTCACATACTACTTTATTAGGAGTAAATAATAATCATTCATAACTCACATCTTTCTAATTTTCAATTCTAATAGATTAATTTTCCACTTTCTTTTACTTTTTTTTTACCTTCTTCTGATTATAATTTTAGAATAACAATTTTTTTAAAAAAAATTTAAGTTATTTTCTCTTTATTATTTACTTACAACCAATATATCTATTTACATATAAAGTTAGAATGTTAGAAATAAATAAGATGATGTGGTACATTTCTATCACCTCCGATCACATTTATCTTTTCTCTAAATTATTTAGCATGTTTTTTATTTTTCTTCACCAGTGGATATTGTAAAATGTATTTTCAAAATTTCCTCTTCAAATAATTACTTAATAGTATTATTTTGCATAGTTAACATTTTTTTATATATGTAACTTTTATTTTTAATTGTTAATTGTTAATTAATAATATTCATGACTTCAAAACCTTTCATGTGGATAACCCTCTAAAGTAATTAATGTGCAAGTTATATAGTTTTTCTTGTCTTACATAGTTACTACAAGTAACAATTTTAAAGAGATTTTCGATAGAGTTTTTGTATTTTATTAGTATATATATATATATATATATATATATATATATATATATATATATATATATATATATATATATTGTCACGACCCAAAACCGGGCCGCGACTGGCACCCACACTTACCCTCCTATGTGAGCGAACCAACCAATCTAAACCTTAACATTTCAATGTAATATCAACAGAAAGTAATACGGAAGACTTAACTCATTAATAAAATCAATAACTATTATTATCCCTAAAATCTGGAATTCATCACCACAAGAACATCTACGATCAAATGACTAAACTAAGAGTATTCTAAAAGCTAAAAATACATAAGAAGCTAGTCCATGCCGGAATTTCAAGGCATCAAGACTTGAAGAAGAAGATCCAGTCCAAGCTAGAAGCATTAGCTCACCCTGAATTTCCGATGTAGTAAGACTGGCTTGAATTACTGTTGAGTCGAAGACGATGGCACGTTTGCTGCACTCCACAAATAAACAAGAAGAAAACATAAAAGTAGGGGTCAGTACAAAACACGGGTACTGAGTAGATATCATCGGCCAACTCGAAATAGAAAACAGTATATACCAAGTAATATCATAAAATCAACTATGATACTCAACATGTAGCAACAACAAGTACTATATCATTAACAATTACCATCAAGTTCACGCATGAGGACTCAAGCCTCAATACCATACTCATTTGGGAATTATGTTCATTAGATTGAGTATATTAACATCTTTCAAGATTCATTATCTTTAGTTCTCTTGTGTCGGTACGTGACACTCCGCTCCCTCATATTCATTAATCCTCTTGTGTCGGTACGTGACACTCCGATCCCCTAAATCTACGTGTCGGTTCGTGACACCCGATCCCCTAAATCTACGTGTCGGTTCGTGACACCCGATCCCCTAAATCTACATGTCGGTTCGTGACACCCGATCCCCTAATCTCATTCTATCAATTCATCAAGCCTTCTTTTATACCAAGACATCATCAACCTCATTACTTTAGTTCATCAAGCCTCCTCCCTTACCAAGGCATCGTCATTAACAAGAGATTAGGTTTTTATCAAGATTTGGGATTCAATAGCTTCATCATGCTTAATATAATCACAATTATATAATCACGTTCATGCAAGCATACAATTAAGCACATAGTTGGGTTTACAATACTATCAATACATATCATTCGCTATTAAGAGTTTACTACGAATAGTATGAAAACCATAACCTACCTCCATCGAAGATTAGTGATCAAGCAAGCAAATTTTTTCCAAAGCTTTGTGTTTCCCCTTCTCGATCGACCCTCTCTCTCTCTTCTTGTTCTTTCTATTTTCTTTATTCAAACCCTCTTTCTTTTACCCTAATTAGTATATAATTAAGAATAAAAGATGGCAATAATGACCCACTAATTAACTTAAGGTTACCTCTTTTATCCCCCAAGAAATTGAGTTATTAATATAAACCCACGAAATATATAATTATAGCAGGAAAAGTCCAAAACGCCCCTTTAAAACTTAACCAGAATTCTGACTTCAACTGGGATTACGCAACCTGTGACGGCCCATCGCGCCTGCGATGGTCCGTCCTGCAGGTCGTCGCAAGGTTCAGAGAATGGATTTTCACTGAAGGCTCTGTGACGGTCCGTCACGCCTGTGACGGTCCGTCCTGCCATTCCGTCACGAAGTTCAGAGAGTCGATTTTCAGTACCCAATTTCAGATTTTCTAAGTGTTTTGAAACGAGACCCTGCGACGGTCCGTCGTGCCCATGACGGTCCGTCGTGGGGTCCGTCGCCTCAGCCTGTTTTTCCAGAATTGAAGTTTGCTGCCCAAAACGACTAAACAGGTCGTTACAATAGATACCAATTTACCCATCGTTCGTCCCCGAACGATCTCAAGAAGGAAAACAAGGGTGAAAAGGAGTACCTGAATCTGTAAATAGATGTGGGTATTTTTCTCGCATATCCGCCTCCTTCTCCCAAGTGGCTTCTTCAACGGGTCGATTCTTCCATTGAATTTTGATGGATGCAATCTCCCTTGATCTCAACTTGCGAATTTCTCTATCTAGAATGACAACAGGTTCCTCCTCATAAGACAAGTTCTCATCAAGCAAAACTGAATCCCAACGGATAATGTAGTTTCCATCCCCATGGTATCTTTTCAACATCGACACATGAAATACCGGATGCACTCCGGACAGCCCTGGAGGCAAGGCTAACTCATAAGCCACCTCCCCTATGCGCTTCAGAACCTCGAAGGGACCAATATACCTTGGGCTTAGTTTACCTCTTTTACCAAACCGCATCACCCCTTTCATTGGCGAAACTTTCAACAAGACTTGTTCACCCTCCATAAACTCCAAGTCTCTAACCTTCCGATCTGCATACTCCTTCTGTCTACTTTGTGCCGCTAGAAGCTTTTCTTGAATAGATCTCACTTTCTCCAATGAATCCCTCATAAGGTCAGTACCCCAAGGTCTAACCTCAAATACATCAAATCACCCAATGGGAGACCTACAACTCCTCCCATATAGTGCCTCAAATGGGGCCATATCAATGCTTG